GGAGGGATGGATGGATAGAAGGATGGATGGAGGGAGGGATGGAAGGATGGAGTGATGGAAGGATGGAGGGATGGATGGATGGAGGGATGGATGGATAGAAGGATGGATGGAGGGAGGGATGGATGGATGGAGGGATGGATAGATGGAGTGATGGAAGGAAGGAAGGATGGATGGATGAAGGAGTGGAAGGATGGATGGAGTGATGGATGGTTGGATGGATGAAGGATGGGTGGAGGGATGAAAGGATATAAGGATAGATGGATAAAGGGATGGAAGGATGGATGTGTGGAGGGAAGGTAGGAGAGAGGGAGTAATGGAAGGAAGAATGCAGAGAAGGATGAATAAATGGAAAGAAGGAAGGATGGATGGAAGAAATATATTCTTCTCTTTCTTTTCTTCTTTTTTTCCTTTCTTTTTTTCTTTCTCTTTCCTTTTTCTTCAAGAAATAAAATATTACTAGTAAAGGTGAAATCCCCTGTGTTTTTCTCCCCAGTTTCATTTCCTTTTCTCTTTCCCCAGAGAAAATACTGTCATGACTTAGACTATATCCAGATGTTATTTTTTATGTTTACTACACACACACACACACACACACACAAACACACACACACACCCTGCTTGTAGTTCTGTTTTGTGCAGCTTGTCAAACTCCATGTAATTCATGTCATACTGAGCAGGATGTCCTGTACCGGCTTTTCTTCCTTACCACATTGCATTTCCATGGTTCTTCTGTGTTATCCTGATTGGGACTTGGCAAACTCTGACCACAAAGAGCTGGGCAGGAAATACTTTGGGTTCTGTGGACCATATCAGCTTTGTCACATTTTCCTTTTTATCACTCTTTTGTTGTTCTTTCTGTCTTTTGTTGTGTTACCGCTCTCCAAACGCATGAAACCATTCCGAGCTGGAGAGCCACACAAACACACTGTAGCCCAAGAGCCATAGGTCACCCCGCTCCAGTCCATCCATTTAAGTGCCGGAGAGCATCTGTCCCACGGACACCGTGAGGTGAACTCCCCATGCAGCAGACACCCTGGGATCATTTACGATGCCCTTCGCCGATCAGTGCTATTGCACTAAACATCTGGAATCTGTCTCCCCACCAGCTTCGCAAGTTAATCCTCGACAGACAGCAAGCCCAGCACTCGGTGTGGCTTCTGGGAGTCACCGGAACTCACACAGAGCAGAGCCTGGGTACACTCGAGGGCAGTACTTCTCGTGTGATTGTAGAGAAGAAAGCGTGGTGCGTGTGTCCGTGTGTGTGCGCGTGCACGCATGCACACGTGTACACAGAGAGAGAGAAGATAACGGAGTGGCCACTCACACATCAGCCCTCGTAAACCCAGTCACGCAACATCCAAGCCAGACTCTCCACGACATCGCTTTGAAGAACCGAGGCTCTGCCGGGCGCGGCTCCCTTGTCCACGACTCTGGACTGACTGCCAGTGAGTTTTTCAAAGGGAGGCTGGCTGAGCATGGTGGACAAGGAAGCACTGATTTTGCCAAAGAAACGTAAGAAGAAAAAGGAGCAGAAGTCAGTACTGGAAGAAGATGTTTCGTAAATACAATACGATACGCTGAAGAATTTCTTATCACCCCCGAGTCCGGGGCGGCCCAGCTGGACGTGCTTTGGTGGTCCCTGTTGCTCAAGGACTTTAATAAGCTAAACATGAGGAGGGGGTACTGCGGGCAGAGAGGACAGGACACAGCATCATTCTGGATCTGGATGGGAGCGGCTGTTAATTACGTGTGCAGAATCAGCCACTTGCTTGTTGAAATCCCAGCCAAGTTCGGGCAAAGAATGTGTGGGACCCGTCTGGCTGCACGGTGCTCTTGAAGGGGGCTCCCAACTTTGTGGGGCTCTAGGGACTCCGACAGGTGCCTTATTCCAGGGACCCCCCCGTACTGCTGCCGGAAAGAGGCAGCTCGGAGCGTGGACCCCCGACAAGAGCCAGATAATCACATGTGGTCCTGGAAGAAGACAAGGACTCTTCAGAGTGAATTGTGAGGCCGGCACGTACATCCGGGCGCCGTGTGTGCACCTCGCTTTGTTACTGGGAGTTGGTGGTCAGAAGCAGGAACTTCAGAGGGCTCGTTCTGGGGTCCTGAGCAGAAAGGACCACCTGGGGACAATTCCTGACATGCCTGACGCCCAGCAACTGCATGACAACCACAGGGATGGGACTTACCTGCAGCAAGCTTTCCACCCTTGGAAAAGCTGCCGCCTTCTCATCAGCGGCTGGTGACCACAGTCAGCTGTGGGGCCAAGATCAGGCTTGCAGGGGTTCTCCAGCTTGAGGATGGCATCAGAGTCACTCAGGAGATGGTGGTCATCACCACCAACGGGGAAGCAGGCTGCGTGGCTGTTCCGTTAATGACCACAGCCGTGATCTCTACTGGGACCAGGATATGGTAGCCAAGATCGAGAGAGTAATCGTGGAGAGAGACACTTACCCTCAGAAGTGGGACTCAGGTCCAAAGACAAGTCAGAAGAGGCTGATAGTCAAGCAGGGCCTTCTGGGTCAGCATGGCACGCCCACGGGCAGCACGCCTGCCGCCTGGATGCAGGAATCTGTAACCGCAAAGAGAGGGACGTCTGGTGACTCCGTCGGCTGAGTGTCTGACTCTTGAATTCAGCTCAGATCATGATCTTGGAGTTGTGAGATCGAGCCCCGCATGGGGCTCTGTGCTCAGCGAGGAGTCTGCTTCTCTCTCCCTCCCCTGTCCACTGTCCCTCCCCGGCTCAGGCATGCGAGCTCCGTCTCTCTCAAATTAATTGATTAAAGAGAAACAGACAGTGACCAGTGTGGTAGCCCAAAGCGGCAGCGAGAGAGTGAAAGTGACAAGATCTCAAGAAGGAAAAGAGGAAGAAGGATAAGAAAGCCAAAGCTGCTCTGGAGAGCCGGGGGGATCCAGGAGATGGGAATATCGATGCCACCAATAAAGAGGAGGAGGAGGAGGAAATAAAAGTGCAATTGACCTCTGGGTCGCGGACCCCAGTTTTAGCACCAGGTCAGGTTAGGAGTAGAAATTAAAGCCTTACTGAGAAAACAGAATTCCTTTTGTTCTTGAAGGAACCAGAAAGGGTGGGGAGGTCCAGGATACCGTAGCTGCAGCCCAAGAACTACCTGACCTTCCCTGGTGTGCTCATCCCATCCTGTCATATTTTAAGGATGAGGGTGAAGGACGCAGGTTCGAGGCCAGCCCCTCCTATCCTTGGGAGAGTTGGGAACCCTCTCCCTGAGACCCAGCACAGCCCAGGAACCATCTGTGGCCATTTCAAAGGAGGCAACCACTCCTCCCAATGCTGGGAGAAGGTTGTACTTTTTACGTACTAAAGCTTACTTGTTTTTAAGTTAAAAATAATAATAATAATAATAATAATAGTTGAAGACTTCCTACTGCCAGTTGCTGAAATATGTATTTCTGGGCCCATCGGCCCTGTAGAGCCCACATCCCGGGTCACACTGGCCTCCAGCACATGGACCCAGTGTTTGTATATATATTTACACAATATTTTTGATAATAATACGCATATCTGCTACTACCAATCCATATATTAAATATTAGTAAGATTTAACCTATCTGTACAGGTTAAGATTAAGGGGACTGTTAATAATGCAGCAGTATTTTCTTCTGAAGCAGGGATTTTTTTCCTGGGCCTCCTACTTTGGAGAACTACAGAAGTCAGTAGTGAGCAGATCCCCAAAGACTGCCCACTTGCCTCTCCCAGCTGGTAGCTAGGATCACAACTCATCCGGGGCAGAATCACCTGGTAATTCCTAAGGAACGTATGTTCATTTTATATTCAAAATAGTATCATCAAGAAAAGACAGATGCATGCACACTACAGGTGAGATGTCAAATGTGCTTTTTGTTCTCACAAAGGGAACCATCCCAGCGAGCAGCACACAG